AATCACTGAGTGATAACTGGCTACAGTGGATGGAGATGATATGGTCAGTGTTAAAACAGATGAGGTTTGCTTTGCGTGGGTTTGCTGTGAAATTTTCAATTTGGCTTGGTTTGGGTTTGGTTGAACTACCGGTATATGGTTTCTACATCTGCTTGCATGTTTTCTATTACAGTATTTCAACCCTGGAAAGTATCTATACTGAGGAGCAGCAGCAGCATGACCTCTGATTACTTTGTCTTCCCTGTTTGCACACCATTCTGTTTAAACCCTGTACAGTAACTCCGAGAAGTTATTTACTTTGTCTCCAATGTACTCCTGCATACTTCTGAATTTAGAAGAGAAGAGGTCATTCTATGTTAACCGTGAACTACATCCATCTAACAGACTGCAGGTGCCTTGAAGGCTTCAGTCAGAGTGTTTGACAAGTCACAATTGCAATAACACTTGAATGAACTTCTTGCTTGTGCTGTTTATCTGTCTCCCCTTTTTCAACTCCCACTCCACCTCTAATTTGTGTTAAGGGGAAAGAAAAAAACCTGCTCAATGGTGTAGGAGGAGTGGAGATAAGCTCGAAGCAGTTAAGTATAATTAGCGAAAGTAATAGCTGGCAAATGGCAACAAGGCTAGGTTTTTATCTCCTGGAAAGATAGAGTTATCGTAATAAGCTGTAATGGCTGGCAGGAATGCTAGTACTCTGTGCAAGCTTCCATTCAGGCTCATAGACTTAACAAGGAACAATTTCCCTTGAATTTACTGCTTTGCTCAAACATTTCCCTATGTTTATACCCTGATACTGTAAGTCAATACACATGTTCAATCTAGTTTCATACAGACTAAAGGCCCACTGAGCTGTATTGCCATGTAAGCACTTCTGGCTGCCAGCACCAGCCATGTTACACTGTTTTCTCAGAGTGGTTACTCATGTCCTATTTCTAGAGAACACGGAGAAGGAGCAGCAGACCACAGTCATATGCCATGTAAAAGCGATCCACTCTACATTTTAAGTAAAGTGGCAGGAGTGAGGCCTATGAAGGAGCTCTCACAGAAAACGTGTTAGCTGCATGAAACGGCAGCAGATTAAGGTGTCAAATCAAAATAAAATTGGGAAGTGCATATTCCTGGCAGAGGAATTCAGCTGAAGGCCTGCCATGAATGCGCATGCGTCTTATTTAAAAAAAAAAAAAAAAAAAACTAAAAAGGAAATGATACGGTCACAGCTGCACACCGAGTCATGCATTCCATTTCTTCATATTCTGAAACGTGATCATTCACTCTCTGGAGAGAATTACTAAAATATTCATAAAAATGTTCCTCCAAACCTTCACAGAGGAAAAGCACGCTCCACCGCAGGTCCAAGCTTTTGCCACTTATCATGTTAATTTTGCTCACATGTGGCAATAATTCTTTTAGGTATTAGCTGCTAAATTTGAAACATATTTGCTGTCACATTGTGTTAGAAAAATTTCTATCATCCCGGAAATTAAAACACGGAGGATCTCTAACCCAGGCAGGAAAAAGAGACATAAGCAATATAATTGAACAAAATGCGTAACCTGTTTAAATCTGAGGAGAAAATGAGAGAAAATGAAAATTCTATTAGTGTCTAATGTTCCCTCTGCCCCCGCACCCATGTGCTCTTCATCTCTCCAGCAAAGTATTCAAATGCAAGCCCTGCCTTACCTCCCCGTGTCTCTTTTTCTCTAATTATCCATGAGGTCAGTAAGCAAAATGGGGAAGAAGCCAGGAGATCAATACAAATTATCCCTGAGCAAACCAGTGCTGACAGTTTGAATTGCAGCATATGTTTACCCAAAATCAGGCAATTTATCTTAATATCAGGCGAGTAATGCAGCAGGGGTGAGAGGTCACACAATCTCTCCACCTCATAATTACCCGCCTCTAAAACAGGAAAGTGGTATTGATTGGCCGCGGGCCGGGAAGCGGGCGTGACTGGAACGTGCCAGTGACCCCCCCCTCCCCTCCACCCCCCAACCCCCGCTATCAAACCACCCATAGTAGTCTCTGTCCCTCCTCCTCCTCCCCTCGGCTAGACTCCCTACCCAGTGCAGGATTTATGGGATGTGTGTGCAGGGTTTCATGTTTCCTTGAAGTGACTGAGAAGCCTTACAGAAGGGTAAGGATGAGCAAAGAGATGTGTGTGTATGTTTGTGGGAGGGGGTGGGGTGTGGGGGATACTTCTTTCGCAACATTCTGTAGGAAGGTCAAAGAGGAACAAACACATTTTGGAATCATCACAGAGCTAGATTTGCACATTGGCCAACGGCAGTCGTTCTAAAATGTGCTATATAATAAATGTGATATGATTTGATTTTCATTTAGATTCCATCTTCAAAAGAGAGTCAAGTTTACGAGTGAGAAGTTAGAGCATTACCATGTGTCGAAGATTAAAAAAGGCAATGAGTTAAAGAGGGTAAAAGTGTGAAAAGGCTTCTGTCAATGCTTGTGCATCAAGAAAATGTAAGGAGTCATCCCAATGATTCTTGGAAAAGCTCTGCAGATGAAAGAAAATCTTTGCATGGAGGAAAAATTATGCGGAGCAGTGCAATGACTGCACATTTATTGTCTAGATTGAATATAAGTGCTAAGTATATATCATCAGCAGCTTTTACAGGATTATTGACATTGTCTGTGTCTGTCTGCACAAGTGTACATGCTATGACTACAAAAGTGTCAACTCATCAACTGACAGCACCGTTTAGCACTAATGCAAGTCTCCATCAGCTGTCAAAAGCATTTGCATGAAATCAATAGCAGATGGCAGTCTATGTCACCAATTTCATTACGCGGGGGTTGTTACAAAGATCATCTCCATGATAGATGAGATGGCGACATGTCGACATGTGGAGATCATGCCTGACGCTTGAAATACAACTGTGCAACACTGGACCAGGTTTTAAATGTGACAGAGATCAGTTTAAAGACCAGTTTAAAAGGAACATTATTTTTTTGATTTGACACATTTTGATTCCTACAGATCAAAGCAAGGAATACTGATAATGCCAATTCAGTTCAAAGCGTGCTCTAAGGACTGAGCCCTCCAAAACACATTCATCACAATTTTTAGCCTGACATTTACAGTGGGGCATCATTATCATTGGGAAGGCATGTCAAACAGTGCCCCGCTCCCAACCTATGTCTCGTCCCATACTGTACGTCTGTCCGGCTGCGTTCCCAGCATGCCTGGCGGGTTGTGTAGGCCCCAGCTGAGGCAGAGGACAGGAGAGCGTGATGTATCACCCTGAGAGAGCCCACTGACAGCCTCTGATGATGGATGGCCTGATTATGGAGTGCTTTTTACACATACACAATTTACATCACACTGAGCAGCGGGGTCTGGCAGGGCTGTCGTGCACATACACTTTTTCCAGCAGGGCACAGGCTCTCGCATATGTGTGTGAGTGGGTGTACACATCTACACATTTACAAGACTGCCAGAGTGCATAGGATAAGAGGGGGAGTAGAAATAACAAAAGAAAAGGGGGCACATTCCTTGCTACATTCTTGTCATGTACGATCAATACAGCAGATCAATTCTTTATTAAGGAGGAGATGACTTTCCCCCACATTCCGACGCAGACCTTTGTCGTTTCAGGACACATGATGACATGTCAAATCAGATTTCCAGCAGTGTATGTAGTTGTGACACGGGGTTTATTCAGGTGTGTCTGAACTATAGGGGTTGGATACCACTATATTTGTAACCTGGATCATTACTATTGATTAGTTCCCCACATTGTCCATGCTTGAACACATAATTGTTCCATTTGATCACAGTCAAGCTGGCAATTACTGTATTCAGGTTTTGGTACAACTGGTGCACAATTTCAGTTTTAAGTACGAGTGCAAAAGAAATAGTAAGAAATAAAACATGTTGCTTTTTTGTGCCCTGAGTCTTTGGCTTTTGCCTCTGTGGCTCTGCCAGCGAGTGTGTGTGTGTGTGTGTGTGTGTGAGAGAGAGATTGTCGGGGGGAGTGGGGGGGTTGAATTTGTATTTTGCTTCCACATTTTCTGGTGTTCAGCAGGTTCAGCGAGCTGTGTGGTGTTAATGCTGAAATTACATGCTGAGTAATGAGTGATGGGCCAAATTACAGGCTGAACAATGAATAGAGGCAGGCAGCTCTTATTAGTCTCCATAGAAAGCCATTGATTTATGAAGCGCCTTGCTCGGCGGAGTTACTCTCCTGAAAATGATATCTACATTGAGAAGTGATGTTCTCTATTAAGTCGTTCCTTCCCCTTTTACACTGCTTTCCTCCTTCCTACCCCTCCTCCCCTCTGCCCTGCCTCTGCTATGAGAGTACACATGATTGTTTAGAATCAGGCGGAGCTGTAAGGAAACCTTCAATTACCCATTAGGACTGTCAGACATAAAACGCCCTGCTCTCACCAAAGTCTGGGTTATGATTCATTTACTTTGTGCCTCTGATTCATCGCCCAATATGCCTCATGCCCCAGATTACTATTTGAGGGGTGGGAGAGATTAATGGCTCCATGGGATCTGCTGCCGTATTTCATGGGCCCAGTGTTGCAGTACTGTTGGTGCAGAAGGGTGAAATGACAGCAACTTACACTAGATCAATGTGTGGACAGACTTTCACAGATTATTAAAGCTCTGTTAGATTAAAAGACCCCTGCTATGTAGTTTGCCGTAGTCAATATTCTTGAGCAGATAAAAAGGGGGAGGGTCCCTCCGAAGGATTCGCAGAGTGATGTAGGTCATCATGGATGTTAATGGAACAGCACTTGGTGACACAAGTGTCAGACGAGTTGGTGTCATTTTTTATTGCTTATGCTCTCTTTGGAGCTGCTAATGTTTCATAAAACCTAGTATCACCCTTGAGGTTTCTTTGAAATTAGGCATTCTGAAATGGCTTTAGTACTGTAAACTCTTAACAGATTCCTCAATTAGTTTCTTTATATCTCTTGGAAAATTAGTCCTGAAATGGCTCTAAATTTCATCTCCCCATATTATCTTTCAGCCCTGAATGAGCCCACTATCGACTATGGTTTCCAGAGGCTGCAGAAGGTCATCCCCAGGCACCCTGGCGATCCTGAGAGGTTACCAAAGGTCAGTAAAGTGTCTGGGTTGTGTGGAAAAAAACTACAAATGGTAATGACACAGTGCTGTCTGGCTTTTAATGTCTTCATACTCTGAGTGTGACAAATAAACAGAACAACATTACCATAAATGCAGAGCACTGTGACCCTAAGCACTAACAGCTTTGCTTCACATATGTGGCTTTACCCACCAACCAGTGTGGTAATGGTATTGGTTTTGTGTGTGGAGAGAGGCGTAAACTCTCTGTGTGGTAAAATAGCTCAATCAGGCGTTTTCCTCTCCAGTAGTCTGTGGAGATGGTAATCTGGTCAGAAACGACGCCTGCACCCTCATTACCCCACTCATGTTTTCCTTTCATTTTCTGCGGCTCGATTTGGTTTAATCTTTTGTTTACAGAACCCTGTGCCGTAAACCCTCTAGTCTTACTGCAGCTAATAGACAAAGACTGCATGTTATTATGCTTTGGCTTTCTTATTGTTGTTTTTTTTTCTTCCCTTTTTCAACTTGCGTGAAGGAGCTGAAAACCACATCAGCTTGTAGACACACTGGTGTGTCATTAAAAAAAATAAATACCGCCATAGTGATTAAACAACATAAGGTGCATAGATTTCTGTTTTTAAATTCCCATCTCGCGCAGTATTTTTAATCCTTTACTTTCTTTTGATTCTCAAACCCTTTCCATTTCCTACTGATACAATCAATCTGTATGTTTTCACTAATTGCTACCCTGCCAGTAGCCATTTTGATGACCGATGTTCCAGATGTGTCAAAAGTAATAATATGACTGATTAGTCAATTCAAAACCCCTCGGCATGTAGTAAAGTGGAGGCCACCTCAGAGTTTTAATAATACTGTAAAACCTTTAAAGACCTTATCTATTAAATCCCAGCAAGCAACACAGCAATATTATTAATGTCCAACGGACAATTTAATAACGAACAGACAGTGTGCTGGCTATAGATGTTTGACCAAGGCAACATGGAGAGATGGAGCATCACAGCTAGTGGTTGGTTCGGTATATGAAGTGTTTCAATTAGACCTGGTCCCTGTGGAGAGAAGAAGCTACACCTAGACATGAAATGTTACTCTAATATCACGTGTAAACGTTGACCAGAAGCTAAAAGTACACTTTACTTTTAATATCCACATGACTTGTTCCATCTCTTGCTGGCATGACCAGTCAATCTAACTACACCGCTATAGTTTTATAAAGTCACACAGTTTGCTTTCTATTTTTTTTGTTTTTTTATGAAACCCACATCTTTTTAGCAAATGGAGACATAATACGTACATGGTCTTATTACAAAGAAAGATCACTTCTTTCCTTGAATACAAAGCACTGCTGGTTGCGAGACACATTTTGACACTGAGCCCAAGATTAGTTTCCTGGGTGAGCGTATACTTAATATAGCACGGTCTCCCAGCCTTTGCATGGAACAATCACAGAGTGAGATGAAACCCTGCACTTCCAATAAACAACATAAATATTTGATTTGCTCTCTAATGGACCCAAATATGGGGTTCAGGGGGCATGTAAATGATCCCACCAAGTGATTCGTCATTGTTAAGCTTGCCATCTGAGGGTCAGCTCTCCGGGTCAAAAGCACATTCCCAATAAAACAGCCTGCGGCAGGCTGAGGCTGGCATGTACATTTGGAATGAGAACAGAAACAGCATATAGAGAACAGCCATTACAAGGTGCAGGTGAGGCCGGGAGACTCTATAAAAAGAAGATAAAGCTGGAGGACGCGCGGTGTGCATTAGCAGAAAGGCAAATCGACACCAAGCCCACTCACCGCCTCTATCCCCCCCCCTCCCTTCCATGACTTCACCCTCCAGTTGATAATATTACTGCACTATTGATTTCCACCAGCCTTCTCCCTGGGACCAGTAAGACACGTGGTAATTGTAGGGAGACAGAAAGCCAATATGGGAGTGCTCATGGATAGCAAGGGATGCACGCTAATATTGTTGCTACACAGAGAAAAAAGGGGGGAAGCTGCCCCTGATTGAAGTTTACCTCGTAATTCTAAGACAACATCGTAGATGACAGTCTGACCCTGTGGGAGGAGTGGAGATATAAAAATTCAATGCAAAGTCCAGGGTGAATATGAAAGTAATAAGTGTGAGCAGTCAAGTGATGAGAAAGGAGATTGGTTTGCGGGCATTGCGTTAAGTGAAGAGAGACTTTGGAATTCACCCTCCTTTTTAAGATCTTGTTATAAAACAATTTTCTATTCATAATATAAAAAAGACAATTTATAATACCATTTTGTGCCCTCTGGCAGTAATGGACAAATAGACTGGATATCACATTATATCACACTCAATTTCTCTCTTCTGTAACAAATTAGATTCATTATGAAATTAAAAGTGGAAACTCAATATTGTTTTATTATTAAGCTGATTGCTTTGGATTCTTTTCTTTCCCCCCCAAAATGAGCAGAAGCCCATTCTTTTCCAATTCTTTGTGTAATCCACAAGGAAAAAATATTACAAATGTGTTCATGTCAAGCAATTACCCATGTATTTAAATGAATCTCTCTTCCTGTGCTCTTTGAAGTACCTTCATCTAATGGCCCTATGCTTCTAAATGCATTCATTACCTCAGGCTAGAGCTAACAGAGTAATTGCCTTACAGTTTTATAATGGCATTAGCACTCCAAGCTACATAACCTAGGCCCTCTTTTATTAACTGTGATAATATAAATACAACATCCACATTAATCTAGTGCTTGAAGACTCACATTTGGATTCAGTATTGTTGGACATTTTTTTATAACGCACCATTTGGTATTTGTTCCACTCAGATTTAATATTATTTTTTCCTCGGCAATAGCATAAAGCAGCTTCTAAATCTTGGGCGATCAGTCATCTGAGCAGTACCGTTCAGACATTTGTGCAGCGCAAGACCTTTATGCAAAGCATAGCAAACAATAGTCCAAATCAGTCACGCATTTGTCACAGAACAGCAGAAATCATTTGAAGCTTTTTAATTGTTTCAGTTTAACATGGTGTGTTCAGATATGTCTCCATGACAAGAAAGCCAATTACACTTATGCTGGAGCAGGATTGAGATTTACATGGAAATGCCCTCGGAACTCTATTCCGTGCTAATCGTATTCACAGCGTGAGCTGATGCGCATGAAAGCGTCGCGTCATAAGAAAACAAACTTCTTCCTTGATTGGGTGCAGCACTTCTCATCATCCTTGGATATGACTAGGTTGCCACTTAAGCATAGCCCTGCGAGTCAGCTCGGTTAGTTAAGACACCACGCAGTAAACGACAGATTAAGGATGAGAGGCAATATCGTTTTCTCTCCTCCTTTTTCCAAGCTGTCCTTATGTCACTGCTGCAAAGCACCATATGGACAAGGAGTGAGAAGACGTTTTACAGAGAATGAAACATGGCTTGCGAACGCGACAGTCTTAATTGCTTTAATTGTTGTTTAAAATTGAGAGCCATGTAGGAGATCTTGAAATATGATAGAATAGATTATTGGTAATTATTAACTGCAGACAAAAAGAAAGAAAACCACTTTATCTCACTCAGCAAGAGAGAGAGAAATCTGTTCTGCCTGATGAGAACACATCAAGACAGCTGGTCCTCTCATTTAGTCTACCTGCTTCACGACAACCATAATTCTTTATTTGTATGCAAACTAGATGCATGCAACGTTGAGCATACACACCAATTTCAGAGGTAAATGCCCATTCTAAGAGCCACCCATCCGGTAACTTGGGGTGGATTAAGCGATATGTTTCTATAAGAGAGCATGGCATACGCTGCAAGTGGCTTCTACAGTAATTCATCTTGATAAATCAAGAACTGCGCTAGATCTGCTCCTTAGGATGAAAGGGCCCATACACACACTCCGTACACACTACATACGCTGCGCCTCGGAGATGCAGGCCAAGTCTTGGAGGCCGCTGTTTGAAGGCGCGAAAGCTGTGTTTACATTCATTTATGGCAGCTGCCGTCTTAATCCCACACTGCTACTGCCAAGTGATGGAACACTTCAGACAAATTACCGAGGCCTGCAAAAGAAAACACAGTGAATGTGGGAAGAAAACAAGCACCATCTGAGATGTTTCTAGTGACAGATTTGCATTGCTTTTAACCAGAGTTCTAACAGCACTGTCGACAAATCTCTGCTCTCCAGCAGGTGACAAGAGAGCAGTTTAAAAAGCACACACAACAGCCATGTCTGCAACTTGCCTTTGTCAGATTAAATGCACTCTAAGAGAAGAGGGTTTTCATAGAGCATACTGCCTTGTGTATTATAGAAAACAAAGAGAGCAGCCTGGTTTCTTGAGAGGGATTTAATTGTAAGTGCTGAATTCAAAGAGGAGATAAAACACACAAACGGGCCAAACCCCACCTAGCTGAAAGCCCAAAACGGAGTGGGGGGAACAGAATCTGGGGCCAACTAATTTTCACTGTTAAGAGCCAAAGCAACACAGCTAATCCGCATTGTCAAATGGGGGCAAGCATGCAGACATGGATAAGACCACATCCTGAGCATCCGTGTCCCCAAGGCACAAGCACCCAGCTCTCGCTGGATGGGAAGTCATTTGTGAAGTCCTTTGCAACAGCCAGTCAAAGAGGTTAATTGAAAAATTCCTTAATGTCATTACAACAGAACTAGATTAACCCAGAGCTAATTCACTTTATTGTTCTGAAGAGAGGGGACTCGGCACTGAACTCCGGAGCAAACGTGAGGCCCAGAATCATGGGCGAGGTGTTGTTTTTAAAGGACTATGCCAGTTTAATTAAGATAGGGAACATTATTCACTGCTCTGCATGGTTGGAAGGAGCAAAATGGTAGTGCTGTATAAATGCACCTCTGGAGCCTCTTAAATCAAGGTGGCTTTTATTTATGTAAACATTTCTGAAAGCGCTTTACAACCTTGTCCTGCAAGTCTGCTCGTGTTCTTATTCCTGTGTGCAGAATGCCTAAATAAATAAATAAATGCATTTTAAAAATTGCTAATTTCTATTAGTCCACCTGGATAACATTGTTATGATTAAAGTGTCATGAATTCATTACACTATAAGATTTCAATATGCAATGACACAAAACCCATTTACATCCAGATTTGCATGTGTTTTAGTCAAAATCTTGATTTGGTTGTAAAATTGAACTAGTGTGAAATTTTCACTACATTCCAAAAGTTCTCTGTAGGGCTAAGGTTTGGAATCGTGGTCGTCAATCCACATGCAAAAATGATGTCCAATGTTTACTGAACTACTCTTTCAAAAATGTACTCTAGTCTTGTCACCTTAAGTGAAATGGTTCTTTAAACCAGTGGTTCCCAACCCTTGTCCTTGAGGAACACCATCCTGCATGTTTTAGTTGTTTCTCTGCTCCAACACACCTGATTCAGTGGTTTAATTACTTCCTTGAGTTCGTCCGAAGCCTGTTAATCACCCTTTGATTCAAATCAGGTGTGCTGGAGCAGAGGAACAACTAAAACATGCAGGATGGTGTTCCTCAGGGACCAGGGTTGGGAACCATTGCTTTAAACAAGTATCATACATGCTTGATTAGGGGCGGCTGGGGCGTATTAGCAGGGCAGTGTTGAGAACTGAAAGTTGCAGGTTTGATTCCATGTCATGCCCATATGTCTAAGTGTCCTTCAGCAAGACACCTACTCCCTCACTGCTCCACGGGCAGTTTACATAGCTGCCAGCTGCTCAACTTCTGAATACCTCACCTGCATGATGAGTCAAATACAGAGAACAAGTTTTGTCATTGTATGGGTGCAATGATGACAACACGAATTATTTTCACTTTTTACTGAACAGGGTGGTTTTTTTTTTCATCCATTAGGATTAAATTCAGGGCAGCACAGTGGCGCAACTGGTAGAGCTGCTGCCTCTCAGCGAGCAGGTCCTTGGCCTTTCTGGGTAGAGTTTGCATGTTCTCTCCGTGCATGCATGGGTTTTCTCCGGGTACTCCGGTTTCCTCCCACAGACCAAAAACATGCATGTTAGGCTGATTGGTAACTCTAAATTGTCCTTAGGTGTGAGTGAGAGAGTGAATGTTTGTTTGTCTCGTTTGTCTCTATGTGGCCCTGTGATGGACTTGCGACCCGTCCAGGGTGTACCCCGCCCCTCGCACAGTGATTGCTGGACATGGGCACCAGCGACCCCCGTGACCCAAAATGGAATAAACGGGTAAAGAAAATGGATGGATGGATAGGATTAAATACTTTGTTGCCAGCTTTTTATTCATGGTTCAAGGTGACTTTATTGTCATGTGGTACATGAGGTGGAACGAAATTGTGTACTTAAGGTCCCAGTTACATTCAAAAACAGCAAAAATATGAAGTATAAAAGGAAACAGTATACAAGGATCTAAGATATACGTTGAACAATAATAATATAATACAGTGTATTAAACATCAGTCTGAACATGAGGCTGTTGTGAGCAGATGGGTATGAATAAAGCAGCTTATGTTGTACATTTCTAATGAGATTGTTAAATCAGTTTGTTTTAATATCTTGCTGGTAATTATTTATCTAGGCTGGGTAGTAAATGTAACTGTCTGGGCTTTAAGTTCACTTTACGTTTTCCTCTTCAGGAGGTGTTACTGAAGAGGGCGGCCGATCTTGTTGAAGCCCTGTACGGAATGCCCCACAACAACCAGGTTTGTACCACACAGCTGTTTTCAGCAAAAAACAAGTTTCTGATAATATACTGTAAGCAAATGGCGTATTCACCACTTTTTTTCCTGAAGAATATTGTAGTTTAAGTTTTATAGAGCCATAAAACATGCATGAAAAAAAAGCTGTGTTAAGAAAAGTGGAAATAATAAACTGCTTTCTTTTCACCTCTCAGGAGATCATTCTTAAGAGGGCGGCAGACATCGCAGAGGCCCTGTACAGCGTTCCCCGCAACCACAACCAGATCCCCTCTCTCGCTAACACAGCCTCCCACGGCATGATGGGAGTCAACTCCTTCAGCAGCCAGCTAGCAGTCAATGTGTCTGAGTCACAAGGGAACGACCAAGGTGCGTGATTTCAAGGATTTTATAGATTATAGATTTCTTAGTGTGGGGGTGCATCAGCACTTGCTCCTTAGTGGAAGTCCAGGTGGTTTGCATTGACAGATATTTCCTTGTTTTGTATTCGATAATACATAAAACACGTTTTTAAGTAAGTATACAGTTAAGAAATCTGATCAAATAAACACACAAAGTAGTTTATGGTTTTAACCACCAACGTTCTCTTGTCATTTACTTTAATCACTGAGCATTTCTCTGATACAGAAGAACAAATAAATGAATGCCCATCTTCCACCTGTGTTTTTCCAGTGGGCTACAGCCGGAACACCAGCAGCGTGTCCCCTCGGGGCTACATCTCCAGCAGCACCCCACAGCAGTCGAGCTACAACACAGTCAGCAACAGCATGAATGGCTACGGCAATGCCGGTATGAACCTGGGAGTGCCAAGCTCCCCTGGGTTCCTCAACGGATCCTCTGCCAACTCCCCATATGGAAGTGAGTAGCTTGCCACTCCTGCACGCTCTCGTAGCACTAAGCTGGTGCTGATTTAATTCCAGCTCGCACATTCGTTTTCACTTCTGTGAATTATTCCTGACAAGGTTGGAATATTATTGACGGTCAAAATATATTACAGTTCATTCACGGGAGCTTGTTTAGTGTAAGTACTTCAGAGAACGAACATGTGGCTCAGACCGGCAGACATATTAGGTGTATTTGACTATTGGCCACCTGTATTTGTTCAACCGGACAAGATGTTGATCGTAGGGGCCTGCGAGTACTGATCATGTGTCCTCCTCGTAGTAACTCTATCCCAACCTTACCTTAACTGCCCTCTCCCTCTTGAGCACTACTCACAGCACGTTCTTACTCTCACCCTTCCTCTTTTCCCTTGCCCTCCCTGTCGTCTCCGCAGTTAAACAAAAGAGCGCCTTCGCCCCTGTGGTCCGACCCCAGGCCTCCCCACCCCCCTCCTGCACCAGCGCCAACGGCAACGGACTGCAAGGTGAGCCCCCCTCACCCCCTCATCCCTTCCCTACGGACTACTGGTCAGATACCGCTGCTCAGGCCTCTGTCCGGTTTGGTGAGGGATTAATCATTACAAATATATGCATTTTGACAGGCCAATTTACAACATTCAGTTTGCATCCAAACATGCACACACTTCCATAAAGCATGCTCTCTCTCACACACGCATACACCCACATACAAACACACAAGTGTAGGATGGCAAACATGCATCCTTGTTGCTCTTACATACAAATGATCTGCTCCGATGTCGCAGGAAGAGACCTTCACCGAATTGTTTCAGTAATTATGTTTATTAGGTTTTGTGCACGTGTCATGACCAACATGATTGCATTGAAAACAAGCTTAGCTGTAGTGTGTGCCCCAAGATTAATAACATTGGGCTTAATGAAGTGGGAAATTAAAGTTCATCTTGCTACACGTTCATACTTATTAATACATGTTGTGCAGAAATTAATGAGCAATGCCTTGCCATCATCTGCGCTGGCAAACTTAAAAGCATTTCAACCATGACTCTACAAATATACTCAGAGTAATATAATAATATATCATCCTAGCACTTCACTAGTTGCCTAATTGTTAAAACGTGTGAAAATACTGAATATATAAACTCTTAGGATGAGCTACAGTTGCTAATGATATCCAAAGCAGATGGTCTTGGTGAAATAACGGGAGCTACCTTTGATCTAGCCTAATCTCTCTTGGATAATGATGCAAAGGCGCAACTTTGGGGGGAAATGCAGGACTAATGTGCTGCTCAGCCATAGAGGCGATGATAAAGAGACGAGAGGAGGAAAATAAGTGTCAGGAATGAATCTGAGAAGTGTCTAGTACTGTAGGATTGTGGCATTGTGGGAAGTGACCGTGTTGTTGCTCTGTCGTCACCACAGCTGGGTCTCCTGGGAGTCTGGGCCACTGTTTGCCATTACCCCAACGCCAGGAGAAATATCACACATAGCAGGACTGGCGTGCTGAGGGCTGAAATGTCAGAGCAAGAGGGAGGGTTTTTTAAACTCTCCCCCCCGTTAGGACATACAGCAGCAGGCAGGCGGACACGGCAAACACTCACAGGCACATACGCAAACAAGCACATTAGGGCATACATTCACACACTTGTGCACTCAAGCAAACATGCATGCACTACATTTAGATTTCAAAAAATTTTCATGATTATATCCAAACTTGCTTTTGTGCTAAATCAACTGATGTCTTTTTGTCTTTCTTTTTCGTCCCTCAGCCATGTCCGGCCTGGTCGTCCCTCCAATGTAAAAGCACTTTTGTCATCTCAAGCACTAGTCGACACACTACCACTTCACGGGACACCCCCCCACCCCCTCCCCACTCCCAAAGCACACTGCAAAATGGTGGTGTAATGTATAGTCAACCGCTTGTTCTAAAGAAAGAAAAAAGTTCTTATTTCTTTTTAATGACTGCCACAACCTACGGGACAAAAAAAAAAAAAAAAAAGGATTTCATGTGAAACGATTTTTTTTTCTCTCTCTGTGGGACTTTTTTTTTTCCCCCTCCGCACATTCTACTCCCCTTGAAGAGGACACGGGATGATGAAGGATTTATTTTGTATACCTGTCGAGTTGTGACTCGGCTTCGGACTCGTCCAATCGACCACGCTCATGACTTAAAAAGGACTCAGTAGACTCACCACCTGGTTGTAAAGTAAAAACACTGATGTACAGTACATTTGCCAACAAACTTGTTTGCCTCAGATCATTGCGTTCGTTTCAGCTCTTTTAATAGATTCACAACAGTTGTGCGTCTTTATAATGTGACTTTTTGTATTTTTATGTGTGAGGAGAAAATACACAGGGGCCAAGACGGTTTGAATTTCAACTGGAAATTATATGAAATATATAATTTAGAAACTTGATGAACAAAAAAAGTACAATAGATATGAGTGAACATACGGGGTGGGGCTAGGCGGACAATGTTGTATCATGTTTCATTCCTGCATTTTAACTTAAATTTTGTAATTTATTGTAGCTAGAAATCATCTTCAAAAAAACAAAAAACATTTTTAAAAAAATCTCTGACTCAACAAGCACACTGACGTGTACAAAAACACTGCTCTGTTGATGAATATGATGTACTTCCATGTCTAGAGCTTCCTTTTAAGCAAGTGTGTTTTGCCATGTTTTTTCAACTTTTTTGCTAGCACTGTAAATGAATGCATTCCTAGGCTACTGTGAAGTCTGTTTCTTGTTGATGAGGAGCAGTCTCCTTTTGGCTCCAACTCCCTTCTGTGTTTTATATGTGGTTTAAAAAATGTAGACTATTGTGATATTGCCAAACTTGTGCTAAATATTTATACATCTGTCTTTTTTCATGTTCTTTTAGATCAACAAAAAAAAGGGGGGAAAAAGCATAAAAAAACCAACAAAATTAAAATTCATCAAGAATGTAGAATAGTAGTTCATTGTCACATTTCTGTTTTAATACACACTTGCGCTCACTGAAGGAAATTTTGTAACATATCAACTATAAATAATGTATTTATCTCTGAAATTTTGTATATTGCTTTTCATTATGTATGTATTAATCGTCATGCCCTTAATATAGTGATGCAGCACAGATAATTCAGCCAAGAACTGTTGCCTTCATTTGTTTTCTTTTTGTATTTGATGAAATGCAATGTGCATATATTTCATGTGTATCCTCAAAATTTGTGTTACACCGTCAAGACTCTCTGTCCATTTTTTTTAAAGGGAAGTCAAACTTCATTGTTTATTTTTATATTGATTTTAAATTATCTATACAGACCATTTTGGAGAAAACTTTGTTGGTTGTACTGTCAAATAAATTGTTTGTGAACCATAAGATAGTTGTTAAGATCCAATAGAGACTAACGTGCATGAGGGACAACCTTGGAGATAAAAAAAAAAAAGAAGACTCCATTTGTGGTTGTATTTTTTTCTGTTTCGTAGAATGTATAGAAGTCATTTTTACTCACCACTTAAGACTCTGCCACATAGCTTACATGTGTTTACAGGGAAGAACATTTAAAATTGCCATTATTTGGAATGAAAACAAATGAAAAAGTGATGTTTTACCATTAAAAGTTTTCAGTAAAAAGAAACATCACGATAGCTCCTCAGCTGTGGACTTCCTCAGTTTTAAGCACAGTTTGGATGGCAGACAAACTGACAATCAGGACCAAGAAAAAGACAGTAGACCCATTTGAGGACAAACCTGTGATTCATCTGTAAGATGTAGTGTTTAGACATTGCTATGGAGATAACTGTTTGAAATCTGTGGAAAAAGTGTAACATCCATAAAAACAATGAAAACTGCTCTTCACTCATATTCTTTCGGCGAAGCATTCTGACGTTGTGACACATTTTCACTGGTCTTTGTACGAGCTCGTCCCGAATCCGTGGAGCTTCAAAGGCTCATTGTAGTCATTCATAAACAGTGCAAGCTTTTTATTCAAAGCACCTCAAATGGGGCTCATTCAAATCCCTCATTTCGTTGCATTAAGCCACCTAGTTAATAAAGAATCAATACATTGAAAGAGCAAGGTTATCCTTTGTCTATAAGGGCTGGTATCGTTTTGAACCTCTTATAGTTTGAGTGCAGAAAAGAGGGGGGCGCTGTGAAATCTATACTCATCAAGTGGGTCAAACAGAAGGATAGAAGTGTTTGAGGGAAGAACAGTGGCTCTCCTTAAAAACAACTGAGCATCTTATCTGGCATCCTGAGTGGTCGCCGAGTGCAGGTCACAAAATGTCAATTTCTCATCAAGGCAACATTGTCCGAGGCCACGTCTGCCTTTAATGCACAATTAAATGACAGCAACCTGAGTGGCAATCAGCATATCGCAGCTTATTATGTCAGCTGGCATGCAAAGATCCCACGGCAAAGGAGATAGTCCACAGACTGCTGATAGTGCAAAGGACAGACACACTGAAAGCAGCTATTTCATTTTCAGCTGCCCTGTGCTTCAAATAATTTCCCTGATAACCCTGTACGTCTGATAACACACATCTGCTGCCTGACGGTGCATTATCTATTTCAGATACACTGGTTTGGATCTGTTACATCGCCTTCTGTTTGGTAAAAAGTGATGTATAATGTCTGTGCATGAAAGAAAACACACACACGCTGAGCAAAACTCTGAGAGAGGAAGAAAAATGATGAGGTTAACAGTTGAATTGGAAAAAAAAAAATGAATAGGTTAGCTCAGTTGTGCGTTTAAAGAGCCCTGAAGCCTGCCAGGCAACCTCGAGGTACAGTATATATAGTCTCAGCAGGTTTCTCTGTACCCAACAAACAGCCACTAGCTCTGCCACACCATTCAATCATCGTGAGAGCCTCTTTTATTGGAGAACTCTAATGGCCACCCTCCGCCATGATCTTAATGTGTGCATTAAATATTTATAAATCCTGGGTCAATAATGCCCCATAACCAGAGCCTGACAGACCCCCACCGTACCATGTGGCTGCCTCGCTCTCAGACACAGGCATGGGTCACGGGGTCACACAATCAAAAGGGAGCAAGGCTTACCGCATCCATATGTTGCCACTCTTATCAAGACTTTCCTTCGTACTGGTTATCTGTCAAAGGAAAGAAATATTGAAAGCAATATCGATCTTAACTAGCCTTGCGTTGCCAAGGGCCACTCTTCAAACATCTGCTCGTGCATTGTTATATTTTTAAAAAAAAGAAAGAAAAAAGTCCTCTGAATAATATACGCCTGAGCTGTAAAATTGAACATCTCTGTGTGACGCAGGCACCCCGAGCATGACTAATAACCGCGTTATTAAGACGCACCACCGGAGGTTTTTAAAGTTCTAAATATTTCTTCATCAGTGTCGGGTTGATTGTGCAGCCTGGCATCCTACATGAGTGACTCACTTCTTCTTGTTTTTTTGTTTTCGCGTCTCTTTTACGTGACCATATCCTGCGCTCCTGTGCTGCTCAGGTGAAAGATTGCGCTCCGGTGATAGCGCGCACAAAAGAGCGGCCGGACAATAAGCCAGTCAATGGAGAGCTCCAGTTGAAAGCGCCACAATGGCCGTGCATGCTGGGAATTGGGCTGGACGATATAAAGGAATGAAACCTTCAATGAGGCCATGGAGGACAAGCATTCAGAAAAGAGGTTTTGTTTGCTCTTTATCAATCGCCGCTTTCCCATGAGAAAAAACAATTGGAACTGACCTTAAGAAGTGAATATATATTACCTTGCACATATTTTTCCTTATTGAGACGCTTGTGCGTTCACTTTAAATGGCATTGTCGCATGTTGTAGCGTGTCAAGACAGGTCGTGAAATTAAGAGGTGGACGATGGTTTATCTCATCTGCTCAATGGGCAGTGTTGAGAAGTACGTTTAAAGGGTTTGCTCTTTCACAGTGGATTTGTGTAACTGCTGAATACTGGAGAAAAACAACAAAAAAAGTGACTTCAAACATCGTGAACTTTCCACACACACACAAAAAAAAGACTTCTGTGAAGCACAAAAAACTGTACAAGTAGAAATCATAACTTTATTATGAAGTAAAACGGGGCATCTGACCTTTTTTGAACAATTCCACATTTGATTCAAAACAGGAAATCTGCGTTTTATTTAATTTTATCTTTTTTTTTTCAAACAGTCCCACAATAGCAACGCCTCGTGTCTGTGATTCTGTACATCAGATAAGACACTGCTCCCCTGTTATTGTACACTGGGAGTCAGCTTCGCAAGAAAAAAAAAAAACTTGTGAAAGTGGATTTTTTTTTTTCCCGATCCTGGCAAAGATTTACACTTCACTCACTACAGTGAAGAAGGATGAGCAAGGTATCCCAGTGCTTCAGCATCCATTAAACTTGTATTTGGGTGTCATTTGATACTTCATCAATGTTTCAGCGCAATTCAAACCCAAAAAAGAAGGATCTGACTCTAGTAGAATGGCATCGCTCATCGTGTTTTCCTTCTATATAAACTTCACTTAGCCTTAAAATCACAGAGTTAGTATTGCTAGGTTAGAGTGTGCAGGACTACGGTGATAAAATAATATCACTTCAACTGTATTTTCTGCCACAGTCTCCTCCGTATAGAGCTCCTTTCATAGTAGTCCTCTGTAGTGCTTTGTCCAGTAGTTCTGGATATGATATCATCTATTAATAATGTATTGGCAATGGATTACATAAAAAGAGAGCAGAAATAACATCCAATATTCATGCCCCCTGAGCTTGAGTGTGTCCAATCCGTTTGGCCCATAAAACCTTAGCCCCATTTCCATATCCGCTGTGGGTCACAACAGGTCTGCCGCACAAAGGCTCACAGAAAAACTCAACTCAGGAAAAGGGCAGTAAAAATTGGGTGGATTTCTGAACCCTTATGAAACAGTCCTCTTTTGGAAAACGAGAAACACACCAAAAAAAAAAAAGGTAAAAAAAGAGCCCTTTTCCGATTTCAGCGCCTGTGAAAAACCTGTTACTGTATTTCCCTCTTTAATTGTGCCACTTGAGAAATTGACGTGCCTCTGAAACATGGCATGAATCTCGCAGTTATTGCAGTCCCCTTGGCAGGGAATGTTGATACAACATCTGCATGCTATAGAAAGTAATGGAAGTAGCAGAGGTGGCAGCTGCAACTCTACAGGAAGTGTGCCATTTTCAGGCAGCGCTGCTGTGAGAACCACTAACTGCCAGCCTGGTCTTGCAGGCAGCTCTGATTGCCAGGACACTATGACAAACACGCAGGGGCTGGGAGTGTTGCATCCTGGGGGATGACAGCTTCTGTTTGATTGTCAATAAGGCTCATTAGCAGAAAAAATGGAGAATGCGAAAAGAGATTAAACGACTTGCAACCGGGTCCCCCTCATGTTTCATTACAGTGGATTTATCAGAGCCTTTATTTCATCAATTCCACAAAAAAATTAATTAATAAATAGCTTCTCCTCACGAAGTAAAACTGCCGCAAAGTCTACTTTAAAAAAATTATTTACAAACTAAACATTACGTAAGCTACTCCGACAAACGCCATTCAAATCTTCAAACATCCGTCACACCTTACATAAACCTCTCCCCTGCTCTCATTTTAAAAACAGTGGCGGATGTTTTCCTCCATCTTAGGGAAGAACGGCCAACAAAGCAGCGTGTAAGGGCCTTTCCCTGAAGAGTCCTTGTCACGCGGCGCCAAACCTCTGTGATTATCGTTGTTTTTGCAGAGAGTGTCCACGCCTGCCAATACCGCTGTTCCATAAATGAATTTGGCCCCTCGTCAACGAATTACCTAACACGCAGAACTGTGTATGTGTCACATCCAATTCCAACTCACCGGCTTTGGTGGTGTGTGTCAGCTGGAAGACTTAATCATCAATCGTCAATCATAATAAGCAAAGCACATTGATAGGGGTGTATTTTTTCACCCCCTTTTTCTCCTTGACAGTTAAATAAAGTGGAAGGGGAGAAGTTAAGAATGACCTTGTGAAATTGGGACCACGATTTATATTCCTAATTTAGTGTATGGATTAATTATTCTTGGCGAGTTCACGTATCAGTTTTCATGTGGCAGAGCTTTGGAGTTATATCCACTTGATGAAATCATTACTTCCTAACATAAGGAAACTGGAATAATTTATATCAGTAAGTTACCAGCTTTGCATATTTTAAGAAGCAAACTTTTAATTAATTCCTAATTGGTCAGTTTATAAAAAAAAAGGACTTTTCCAGCATTAGTTGCTAATCTATAATTCCCATCTCAGATCATACAAAATTAATCGCTATGACCTGCCCAGGCTTTTAATGCAGCCACACAAACATGTTACACGTTAACTGGCAAAGCATGTCTTTGCAAAAAATGGCTGAAAAATCTGGCTCATATTTTCCCTCCTGATCCATTGCACTCCTCTCTCCCGTCATATAGATCGGAGTCTGCAGGGGCCAGAGGCGCTGACAGAGCCCAGATGCTCCCAGTCTGTCTGGGGGACTGGGGAGACTGGTGCCATGGGGTCCTGGAGCCTCTGAAGTGCCGCCCCTCCATCAACGTGACCAAGGCTAGACCTGCACTTTCTCCAGGCTGAGACACTCTCCTCACCACGCTGACAACCGTGCTGCGTAGTCGCAGATTGATACGTGCACAGATATGCACTCAAAGGTAATCGCTCTCACGTAATGTATGACCATTCATCAGCCGTTCCTAATTAGAGACCCCCAAGACTGATGCTTGAGTTCACAAGGTTACAAAGGCACGGCTGAAACAGGATTTGTAATTTTCATACACACAAAAAAAAAAAAACACTTGCTGATACCTTGAAGAGATTTTCTTATTTAATCTTGTTCTCTTTCTTTATCACGACTGTTTTCAACCGGCTCGTGTCGACGGGAGTCTCTTTGTTCTAATGAAACAAACTTTTAAAAAAATTTGTGGGCGCCACACGAATCCTGTGTCCTCCTGCTTTTTCTCTCAGAACACAAAGATCATTACAAGAGCATCAAAGTATGCCGTGTTTGAAATGATGGTTGTCTTTGTAGTTGTGGCGGAGCGCGGAGTGTGTTGGTATTAGATGCTGCTGTGGCAGCTGTCGTGGCTGGCTGCGCGGTGCCTCGGTGTCAGGGCCTCAGAGAAAAGACTGTCCCGGCAGACAGACAGAGGGGGAGGAAACCTGATACCGCAGCCAAAACCCAGTCTAATGTCTGTATATCCAGCTATCTATCCCTGTGCCTATCTGTCTGTCTGACTGCTGGACGTTGCCTATCTGCAAGCTGGATACTCCTCTGGCTCCCCAGCTGCAATGTGCTGCTTGCAGCGGAGTTTAATACATCCTAGAAAAGTTGCAGCTTTGTTTATTTTGAGCATCCAAACTTTGCACGACGAGGAAAAGTAGTTATTTATGAAACGGGATTAATTCTGCAGAGTCCCCACAAAGCCTGCGACTTGTTTCAAAGGGTGCAGGTTGTGATAACGGCAGAGTTATGAGCCGACATGTATGAAGAGAAAGAGATGGAAGCGCAGAGTGTTTGTGTTTGATGTGGGGGCAGAAAATTGTTCCATAATGAGGAGGGGTGCCAGGATATGAGATGGGAAGCAGGGAGTTGGAGACAGGATATAACTTATGAGAAGGAAACTAATGTTAGGAAAGGCTGTTGTTGTTGTTGAGGCTATAGAAGCTAAAATGTATCTTACCACTATCGGCCATGATTAATACAGCCCGGCCAGGTCAAAGCCCCACACTGACGCTCCGGATGCCACCAACCGTATCCTCGCTTTTTCTGGGGGCTCCAATGAGTGTGTGTCGTGTGCGTGTGAGAAAGCGGGAGAGAGAGCGTGTGTGTGTGTGAGGGGGTTAATAAATGTTGAATCAAACGCCGCACGAGACACTCACACTCCTTAAGGGTTGCCCATTAGCGGTGTGTGGGTGCATGGGGAGTTTATCAGTGTCTGGGTGATTTATGAAGTCAGACTCAATATCATCCACTTCACCCACACACATATGGACATACACATGTGAACACACCAGCATGCATGGCCACGTTCTCACGCACTCACGTGTACAGAGGCACGCACACGCACTCCGGCAGCCTCTCTGTGAAATGGAGGCAGATATGGGATCAAAATTAAAGGTTTCACAGAGATTAACAGTGCGCGTGACGAGATCGCCTTAATCTAATTTCTTTTCATCTCTGAGCCAGCATCATATAAAAGTGGCCCGTTTGGTACAAAGTACAACAAAATAATAACATTTAAAAATGACGAAACATTGTAAAAGTGCGGGAAATGTGTGAGAAATGAACGGTGTGATTTTTATTTAGCCGATGTCCATTTTTAGGGGACACCTATGCAAATCTCAGCCAATTATTGGCAACACGTTTGATGCTTTGATACGGGACTTGTTTTAAAAACATCAACCGCACAACTCTAAAGACATCAGTGGCTCGAGTTGCTAAATTCATGGCATTCCATAGAATTTACTTGGCCACAAGCAAAAAAGGAGGGTGCTTACAGTGCACTTCAGAGTGCGCCTGGCTTAAATGGGACCCCTTGTGGCTGTGTCACAGCTCCCTTCGTTAGGGGGCTGACTGTAGCCTGTAGTCACCACAGGCATCATTAGCCCTCTGTGAAACCACAGACTGAGTCTCATTCTTCATCTGCCTGTCTGCTGCCTCAACACTTACGCCGCGATGCAGCTCCAATGGCACAGCAAGTGAGTCCAGCAGCACGGCGAGACAGCCACACAGAGCCGGTCGGATAAGGAATTCAAAAAAATGCAGCAAAGTTCAAATATATTCAGCGAGCGAGCCACTTGAATTGGTTCTGTAAAGGTTAGAGCTGAGGTTATTTTTGGACGGTGCATTATTAGGCTACCTGAGCGGAGGAAAAGAGGAATAACTATGAACAAGTTAGGGCCACTCCGGAGCTGCAGAAGTCAGTGAGAAGAATCGAGAATTTAGAAGTTAAACAAAAACAAAAAAAGACTAAACTGTCGCTGAAAAAGCAGAACGCCAAGAGGAAAATATAGTAGATAAAAGTTAAAGTTATTCAAAGTAACTGTTTTCTCTAAACATGCACATGCACTGCTGCTATCACCATATGCTCTTTTAGAGAATAAAAAAAAACTTATCTCAAAGGCATTAAACAAGGTTGTGATGAAAATAAAACAACATATAAGCATTTAAATCACTGATTAAATGTGCAGGATGAATTCAAGGTTGAAACGTTGACGTCTGTTTCCCGTTCTGTACTGCCCTCTAATGGAAAGCGCCCCTCAGAAATAGAAGGAGCAGCTCTGACGAGCTGCAGCAGGGAGAGAAGGCACACAGCATAATTAATTGTGAGCTGAAACTGACTGGAACTTATAAGAAATTAGCGTCTAAATTAAACACAGTTAAATTGATAAAAAGCACAGATTTGTCATTTTTGAGTCGTATTTATTTAAACAGGGTATATTACACAGAACACTTCTTCGCTCTAGCTGGATTATAAAGCGTGAGCAAACACTGAGATCTAAACGAAGACAAAACAAATGCTTCACTACAAAGCTTTGTAGCCATAAAATTCAGAGCCTTTATCACTGGATGTTGAACAAAGCATTCACTTGGCAGGAAATTAAAAAAACCAACGAGAGGTACAAAGACTAATTCTGCTCAGGAAAAAAAACAAAAACAAAAAACAAACAAACAACAACAATGCAAGAGACATATTTTTAAAGGAATAATAATTATTCTTTAGAAAAACCATTCCAGCACTATCTGGCAAATGCAAGAGAGACCCACGGGAGCATATGTTTGTAATTCCTACTGTTCTCTGTTTAAGTTATTTTTGTATATTATAATTCTGCAACAACTCTGTATCATATTAACTATGCAGCATCTCTATTCTTAGATTTTTTTGAAATCAGTAAAGTGAATATTTACAAGTAATTCTAGTTGTTCCATAGTGTGTGCCAAGCACAACTAACTTTATGGGTTTGTTTTGTGTCCTTAAACAGAAAAAATCAACCCAGTCAAATCAATGTGTGTGTGTGTGTGTGTGTGTGTGTGTGTGTGTGTGTACTGAATGAAGGACAGTTGAGCTCTGTCATGCTTCAGCTTTCCCCTCTCTGCCTCTCATGGGTGAGCAGCCATTGTTTGAGATGGTCGCCCTTGCCGCTCATGTACGGCCCACTCTGTCCGGAGCTGGAAATGACTCGGTGACAAGGAATGAGGAGAGGAACCTGGGACAAACGAACAGAGAGCCAAGAATGACGCTCTGAGGAATGAAACATGTATTTTTATTTTATTTTTTTTGCACACAGAACGCAACACTTCTATGTGCACACAAACTTTAAAACGGTGGCTTCTATTCTCTTTTCGTTAAATCCCAGTATACCTGAAAACACGCATTAAAAATAAGACAAAAACTTTAAAAAAAAGAACAATACAAAAGCTACTTCTTGAATAAAAACAGAATAAACTTTTTTGGTCCCACCTTAATGTTTATCATCTACAAATCTAGCTGAAAGTTGCTGAGAGTATGTATTATGTATAAAAGAAAGCTGGATTTACCTAAAAAAAAAAACAACCAACGTGACTTAAAAGTAACCAACATGCAGAAAACATGATCTGCACCTTTTCTCATTTATTTTGCACTTTTCATGTTGTCGCACTGCGTGAAAACAAAGTGCCACACCAGAAGTATTTGGTTTGATCCTGCACAAATCTACATTCGGGGTGATGGCACAGTCTTTGGATATAAATGTTTTTTTTTTTTTTACTCTTTCATAGTGAAAAGCAAAGAAGCAATCAAAAATTAATGGGCAAAAACACCAGCAGGATGAATATTCAATCAAGAGGGTGTCAACATTAAGATCTGATAACCCTGTGATCATTAAAAAGAGGAAGTCGGTGGAGCGTTTATGCTTGTTGCAGACGACTGCCAGGGGGGTCCCGATTTCTTTGTAAACTAAATGGCTGGAGAAAGATTAAACAAGCAAGCTTAAAAAACTCCCATCATTGTGAATTCAGGACAACAAAAGTGGTAATGGTTCGAGTGAATCTATTCTATTTGGAGTGAAAATATTCTACAAAAAAAGGCATCCCAACCACTGCTGCTCAGAGACTGTACTCCTCCAATTTAGCTGCACTCTGAATTGATGGTTTTACATCCAGCCTTTTGTACGGAAGCCGGACGAGCAGTATGTTTCGGTTCAAATCCATCATTAAACCCGCTTCCATATCAACAGCAATAAAACTTTCTGAGCCTGAGATTAACCTTGCAGACAGAAAAAAAATACTGCTCGCGTATTCGGATCAATATCATTCCCCGGGTTTGGAGGGGGAGCGGGGGTACCCTCAAGGCCTTCGGATCTGCCTTTTCACATAGGGGGGAAAAGAACACTGCACCAGGCTTATCAATACTCAAATCCTGGTGAAGAAGAAGTGCCACAGAGAGACGGGGATCGATTGAGCACACTGAGCTTTTCACAGCTGAAGCCCGAGCGGAGCAGTGCTGCTGACAAGTAATTGACACTGACAATCTGACTCTGGATCTGAATCAGGAGCTGAGGGCTCAGGCTCATAGCCTCACTCACACAAGGCAAGAAACGTCTGTAAAACAAGACTGAGCACTACTTTACAGTCATCTAGCTGCGTTGCCACTGGCTAATGTATAAAGTGCATTGAGAATTTAACGCCATGTACTAAAAACCTAAATGTGCTTTTAATTTTGACAGAAGCACCTCTAATTATAACTGATTTATTCATATAACTTTTAGAAAGTGGGAAAAAAAAAGCAGCACTAAAATGAGAATTATACATATTATTTCACGCAACATATAAGGAAGAGCATGTGCTTTGCTGTACAAGACGTGCTCCCAGCCTTCACACCGGTGGTGCCCACAGCACTACATGGGCCGAGTTAAACAGGCTTTGATCAAAGGGTTTGATCAAAAGAAGACACACCGCTTGCCCTCTAGCCTTCCATTTTGTACACAGTGGATTCATGGGCAAAACGATGCGGACCAGGTTTCCTACAAGAATCGGAGATTTGCAGTGAGCGTCTGCAGTAAAGACATGAGAGAACAAGAACAAAAAGTGTGGGCTTAAAATCACGCTGTAGGTAGTTTTACTTCGCAGCTGATCTCAGAGGGACGCATTGATTTTACCACTTCATATACGGGCGCACACCTACAGTCTAGATCACATATCCTGCATTGGGAAAAACGTAAATATATAATTTCAAGACAAAATCTAGTGGTGGGCACAATTAGTTTTGTGAAGGCAGAGCCTGAAAATTAATCATACCATTTTAAAATGCAAGTTATAGTTTGGACGAACCTGTTTTCTTAAAAAACGAGGGGTGGTTTAAATATAATCATACATAAATAAATACATCAAATAATGGTTTACATGCACCCATTAATGCTTATAATGGTGTTCATCCCTTCATTTTACAAGCAACTGTAGCATAAAATATTGACTTAATAACCTTTAATGTTGTGCTACTGATATTTGTAATAAAAAAAAATTACGAGTGCAAAAATGACATCTTCAGACTAATTTATTTCTACCAAATATCTAGACGAATAGTAACGCAATTAGTTTCAATTTAAAATAGTTGCAAATCAATTAATTTTATTTAAACTGCTCGATTGTAAATATATATTATAGTATTAATAAAGTATACAATGTAACATCTCTAGAAAAACATATTTCAAAGTTAGTAAAACAATAAAAGTTATTGTTATTATTATGTATAGCAGGGGTTCTCAAACTTTTTGGGTCCAGGGACATCTTACATGGGAGAAAAAGTTTCAGGGACCCCCTCATAACCCTCATGTTTATTAAATAATTTTCTTCAATTTGTCTCTTTAATGCAATGGAAATATTTGTGTAACATAAATACTTATGATTTGTTCTTTAATAGTGTTAATACAAGTTTTATACTTTTAAACATGTGGTAGTTTTCATTCAAGACACACTTAATATAATTTCAACTTCTAAAAATGACAATTTTGAGAAAATTAACAGTATCGAACAGTATCAGGGTCTGGGGGTCCTCCCCCAGAAAATTTTGAATAAAGTAGATGTGATTTCCTGCATTTTGGTGTATTTTAATGAGTTGTTAAACATCTATGTGCTTGTAAAAAAACATATAAATATATATATTTTTTGGACCCCCAAGCACCGGCTCGTGGAACCCCGGGGGTCCGGGGACCTCAGTTTGAGAACCACTTATGTATAGCATCACACAAACTCACACACACACACACACACACACACACACACACACACACACACACAC